TAAAAACCCAGTCCATAAAAGGATAAATCAGACTTTATTAAAATTTAAAAACTTTTAAAAACATATGGTTAAGAGAACTAGAAAACAAGCCACATACTGGAAGAAAATATTGGCAATGTATATATTTGACAAAGGTCTAATATCTGAAATTTAATTTTTCCTTTTTGGCCAGTCCAGGGACTTAAACTCTACACACTGTCCCTGAGCTTTTTTTGTTTTGGTCGGTAATGGGGCTTGAATTCAGTGCCCGGGCATTGTCTCTCAGCGCTTTTGCTCAAGGCTAGCACTCTGCCACTGTGAACCACAGCACCACTTTCAATTCTCTAGTGATTAGCAAGATACAGAGTCTCAAAATCTGGGCACACAAGGACAAAGTAGGGTGCTGTTGGCTCACAACTGTAATCCTAACTATTCAGGAGGCTGAGATCTGAGGATCATAGTTCATTTTTCTTTTTTTATTTCTTTTTGGTTGGTCATGGAGCCTGAACTCTGGGGCCTGGGCTCTGTCCCTCAGCTCTTCAACTCAAGGCTAGTGCTCTACCACTTGAGCCATGCAGCCACTTCCAACTTTTTCTGCTTATGCGGTGCTGAGGAATTGAACCCAGGGCCTCATGCATGCAAGACACCACTGAGCCACCTTCCCAGCCCCGAAAGTCACAGTTCAAATCCAGCCTGGGCAGGAAAATCCGTGAGGCTCTTATCTCCAATTAACCACTAGAAACCAGAAGTGGTGCTGTGATTCAAGTGGTAGAGTGCTCACCTTGAGCTGAAGAGCTGAGGGACAGTGCCCAGGCCCAGAGTTCAAGCCCCACAACTAACAACAACAACAAAAAAAAACTCACAGACTTTCCTGCCAGGGCTGACTTTGAACAGAGATCCGCAGATCTCAGCCTCCTGAATAGCTAGGATTACAGGTGTGAGCCAACAGCACCCTACTTTGTCCCTATGCTTTTGTGCTCAAAGCTAGAGCTCTACCATTTAACCACAGCTTTGCTTTCTGGCTTCTTGTGGTTAGTTGGAAACAAAAGTCTCATGGGCTTTCCTTCAGGGACTGACTTTGAATCGTGATCCTCGGATTTCAGGCCCCTAAGTAGCTAGGATTACAGGCATGAACCAGTAGCACCCAGCTAGAATTTAATTTTTAAAACTTTCATGGGGCACTGGTGGCTCACACCTGTAATCCTAGCTAGTCAGGAGGCTGAGATCTGAGGATCGCGGTTCAAAGCCAGCCCGGGCAGGAAAGTCCATGAGACTCTTTTCTCCAATAAACCACTCAGAAAACTGGAAGTGATGCTGTGGCTCTAGTCGTAGAGTGCTAGCCTTGAGCTGAAGAGCTGAGAGACAGCACCCAAGCCCAGAGTTCAAGCCCCACAACAGACAAAAAAAAAAAAGAAAGAAAGAAAAAAGAAAAGAAAACAAGAAAGGTGACTGTAAATGTACACTGACATTTCACAAAAAAATGCAAATGGAAAAAA